GATGGGTGAGACACAAATGGTTGCATTCTTTTGAGTTTCTGATTAGCCTTTCCAAAGGAGGCAAATCAGATATGCATCTATCTCAGTAACTTTGAATAGAATGGGAGGCAGGTTTGCCATAAGCAGTTTCCAGCATGAATTTTCCTTAGTGATCTTGGGGGCCCGAGATATTTTCCTTTCACACTCCGGACCAAAATTTTAAGAGCATTGACTGTGGTAAGGGATATTAAGAATAGGATTAAAAGATACCAAGGGGATAGAATAAATTAGTTTTGAAGGGTGATGGAGAAAGGGTTTGAAGTTGAATCTAAACTACCAAGATTGTTAAAACTCTATTTCATCCCAAAACCTGCAGGCTGAGGAACTCTAAAAGGGTATATTTTGAACCATAGATAAACAATGTTATAATCACCGCTTAAAATGTTTAAATCAAGACAAGTATGCATGTTTTTAAAAGTAAACAACTGATTTGCCCTTTATAAAAATATCTGAATTAAGTATTTTCATCATCATAATATATAGAACAAATCTACATGTTTCACAGTTCAGCATCTAAAAACCCAGAAGTGTGGGTGCAAAAGAAAATAATTTTCTGGAACTTGGGAAAAACCCTTTTAAGGATTTAAACTGTGAAGCACTTGACTTCTAACAGCAAGTGCACAGGAAGAAATTTAACTACAGCATAAAAGTCACATTCTCACAGATTCTCAAAATAACGAAATATTATTCATTTACATCTCATATTTTTTATTTTTGTAATAAAAATAAGGAGATTTCTGATTTTGAGCAGCGTAATTTATAAATTTTCTTTGATAATGCACACGTTTATAATTTTTTTTTTTTTTTTTTGAGACAGAGTCTCACTCTGTTGCCCAGGCTGGAGTACAGTGGCGTGATCTCAGCTCACAGCAACCTCAGTCTCCTGGGTTCAAGCGATTCTCATGCCTCAGCCTCCCAAATACCTGGGATTACAGGTATACACCACCAAACCCAGCTAATTTTTGTATTTTTCGTAGAGACGGGGTTTCACTGTGTTGGCCAGACTGGTCTCCAACTCCTGACCTCAAGTGACTCACCCACCTCGGCCTCCCAAAGTGCTAGGATTACAGCCAAGAGCCACCATGCCTGGCCTACAGTGGATTTTAAATAACTGATTCTACTTAAAATAAAATATTAATTCAAGTGCTAAAGACTCTCTTTCTTATTAAGTTGATTTAATTATGTTATTCCTATCCTCATTTATGCTTTTTCCTAACTCCATAACAATTTTCAATCCCTCTATCCAAACCATCCATAAACAAGCATAGCTCTCTTAAGAATTTGAAGTTACAATTAAAACACTTAAATAGAGATTGTCTTAGTTTAATAACTCCAGCCCTATGATTCTAACAATCAATGAACACAGATGAAAAAAGACAAAATGAAAATACAACGAAACAAATGTCTTAGGAGCAGAGTCTATTGTTAGCAGGGAAATGTCATTTTTATAACCTCAGAAAGGCACAATATACTTGTCAAGACATTGAGAATTAACCTGGCTATTTCAGCCATACCAACAAATCTGTTCACATTAAGTAATTATAGGGTAGGAACTAAAAAGGAATATGACATTAAAGAATATAAAATATTATGTATGCATCATGAACTTAATTTGGAATTCTTTGTGTTTTATAAAAAGTGGGAAGGTCAAAAAAAAAAGGTGGAGGTGTAGGAACTGAAAGAACTTCAAATTGAAAAAAGACATGAACTGCAATTATATTCATATGCCCTATTTAGAAAAACATCTTGAAGCCATCCTCCAGTGTTAAAGGAGGTTATTTGTTGACTAAATTTTTTATCTTTCCATTAATTAGTTATGCTTCAGAACTTATTCATTAAACTCCTTAGCACTTTTGACACACTAAAGAATTATGTGCCTATCAAGAGACTGTTTAGTGGCAAGAATCCAAAAAGATGAAACTGCACCTGTTTTTGGATTCAGAGATTCTAATTAATTTTAAAATAACCTCCCTTCTCTACCTTTTAACTGGCAAATGAATCAGTGGAAGAGATAGCAAGGCCTTCTTATTTCTCCTATCAGACTAATTTAGGCAAGTTCCCATTTTTGTGAGGTGTCCTCAGATGTGAGGGATGTAGAGATTTTGTTCCTCTCTGACCCTTGCAAGATTAAAGGCAAAGAGTATTAAACATGATGGCTTTTGGCATATTTCAGTGCCAAAGGCCACAGTTGACAATTACGACATAACAATCATAAATAATCTGCACACCAAATAACACAGCAGCAAATGTTATATAGCATAAGCTACAAGAGATGCAAGGAGACATAGATAAAATGCATGAATAATAATAAGATATGTTAGATAATAAGATACGTTAACTTGCCACTCTCAGTACCAGGACAAATCAAAAAGATTTTAAAAATACACAAAGTTATAAAGACCGAATCAACTTAATAAAGCAGAACTTAAAGATATACATATATATCTTGTTATATGTGTGTGTGTGTGTGTGTATATATATACACACACACACAACTTATATATACACACACATATATATCAGGGTGTGAAGGGATTATATATATTTAATACTATATATATTTAATATTTTATATACACATAATCCCTTCACACCCTGATAATTTTTGCAACTTTTCATTAAGCATGCAATTATTTCAAAATTAAACTATCAAAAATGAGAAGAAAGAGGAGGAGGAGGAGGAGAAGAAGAGGAAGAAGAGGAGAATCAGGAAAAAATAGTGCTGGTAAGTTACTATTTTCCTCCTCCTTTCTTAAAACATTATTAAAGCATTTTGTATGTTGAACAAACAAACAAAAACTCCTGATCTGATGGACTTTTGAAAGAACTAGTCTTTTTCAGAGCCTGTAGAAATAAGAAAGGTAGCCAGAGAGCTGTCTGTATAATTTGACTCATTAAGCACAAGATGTAAAAAGTCTCTGAATTCCAAGATTTTTAAGGAGAGAGAACAAAAAGCACACACTCAAAATAATAAAATGTGACAGATATATGATGAAATGGGTCCAATACCCGGGGGTCCTGTGTTCATTTTTACTGTGTCATTGGGCAAAACAAGTTACCATTTTATTTTAAAATGAAAGGAAAATGCATTTTGTCGGTCTCACTGAGCAAATTGTCTCATTTTAGCAGACCCAGGCCAGAGGCACTGTACTCAGGGTTTTCTCCAACCTTCTTTAAGAAAAGGAGTTACCCAAGTGAAGTTGTAATAAAGAAAACGGGACAAAGCAAATGATAATGATTCTACAGCTGAGGTAATTTATCATGAGGGTACTCATTTTCATGCAATACATTTGATATTTTTTTCCTAACCACCACTGACGTGGACATTCAGGAAAATAAAATATATTTGCTTTGGCCTTGTATTTTATCCTCTTCTTTAAGCAAACAAGAATGGCTGTAGTGTAAATATGCTTCATTTTACCACAAAGGATTGTTCTGGTGAAATGTACAACTTTTTATGAAGGGTTATATATATCTCCTTTATACTCCAGTAAACAAAACAGAACAAGCACTAATGAGCATTAAACATACCCAGAATGTTGACTTTAAACTGTTGTATTTTCTTCTTGAAAAAAATAAAGATGGTTCCTAGAAGAAATCTAACTGTAATTCTAATATTATTTATATGCGGTTAAGGAAAAGCTTACAAACCTTGGTATTCAGTCATTTGCAACCCTGAGCCATTTTCTAGAACTCACAATTTTTACAGAACCTGTTTTCCTACGAAAGGTCATTTCTTTTCCATTCTCAATTCTATATTTTTCAAGTAATGGTGTTTTTGAAGTCAGTTTTTCATTATATTGTGGTGGATTTTGCTTTTGTAGTTTTTAAAGTCTATCAGTTAATCTTTTACTTTTGAGAATAAGTGGCATTCAAGCTATGGTAGGTTGACCTCGGTAGCTGAAAATCCAATAGTTTAAAAATTGAGCTCATTTTTCATGAGACACAAGCCATGAAAAATGTGATCAAAATGAAGTCGACATTCTGCAATTCTAACTTATTTTACCTGATAAAAAAAAAAAACAAGAAATTATTCTCCTCTGACCTTATTATTACTTCCTTTTATATCTGTGCATTTCAGGAACCTGCTGCAGATATTTGAGCAGAAAATGATCTAAAAGGTCATTTGGCAATTTTTTTTTTTTTTTTTTTGCCAAGCTGTATATCCTACACTGTCCCCAAACACGCAACATTTTTTTATTTTATCACTTACATATACTGTTACTGCCCTTTTATTGTTGTGGTTGTGGTTAATACAACTATCTACTGAATTCTAAGTTCTAAAATGCTCTAAATTTTAAAATGAATTTATGATTAGCCAAATAATTTTTATGGCCTATTAATATAGATGGACAGAACCAGCTTTATAAACCTAAATTTAATTTATCTATACTGTGATCACTCTGCTATAAAAGGCCAGACTCATTAACCTCCTCCACACTTTCAGCTCACTACTTAGGTTGACTGTGATGAGGGAGAAAGTTTTGGGGTAAAATGATCTATATTCAAGCCTCCATTCATTTACTAATCGGGAAAGTCACTAAGCTTCTCTGGGCCTCCCTTGGCTCCTATCTAAAGAAAAGGGTTGAACTAGACAGGTTCTATTGCCCTTCTGAGACTAACACCCTACATCACTACCATGTCAATCATTCCACAAGCCATTTTCACACTTACTAGCACGGAGCTACAAGGCACGTTAGGCTGTGACCACCTTTAGTCTAAAAGGTACTGTCCTACTGTTGCCAAAGAAAGTTTAATCAAACTCAGCCCATTAGGCTGTGACTGATACTAATGTTCTCTGCTGAAATAGCATTATTAGTTTTCATTAAGATTCACATCTCATTAGTGACCCAATTTCCAAAGTTACCAAACAAAGGAAACTTCTCTTTAAAAATGCGAGAAGTAAAATATCTCAAACTGCTACTACGCATTTGCTACTACATTAGGAAAGTTCACAGTACCTAAAATAGCCACCACCTCATCATCCTGGATGACTTCCAAGGATCCCGACACCACAAAGCAGAGGGCATCCACACTTTCTCCAGCGTGGTAAATGAGGTCCCCAGGAGCACAGTGAATGGTTTGGAACTCTACTGCCAAGGCACGCAGACACCCATCGCTGGCCAATCGAAAAGCAGGATGTTCATTAAAAACCTTCCGGTTTAGATGAACACAGATATCAGCTCTCATGTCCTTGGGACAGATGGAGAGGACCTAAAGAAGGTGAGAGATGAATAAGTGAAAAGGATAGAGAAAAGAGCCGCTTCAGAAAAAAAAAATCATCCAACAAATATTTATTGACTATGACTATGTCTGCTACACACCCTGCTAGGTACTGGGAAGGCAAAGGGAACAAGACACAGCTCTGCTCTCAAGGAGGTAATAATCCACTGAGATGGACTGATGAGCATATGGACCATGACAATGCAGAACCATGTAGTAAATGCTTTGAGAAGAGTATAGCTCTCCCCTCAGAAAGAACACCTTGGCCAGGCAAGGTGGCTCACTCCTGTAATCCCAGCACTTTGGGAGGCCAAGGAGGGTGGATCACTTGAGCTCAGTAGTTTGAGACCAGCCTGGGCAACATGGGGAACCCTGTCTCTACAAAAAGACAAAAAAAATTAGCTGGCCGTAGTGGTGCATGCCTGTAGTTCCAGCTACTTGGGAGGCTGAAGTGAGAGAATCACCTTATCCCAAGAGACAGAGATTGCAGTGAGCCAAGATCGTGCCACTGCACTCCAGCCCTGAGCGACAGAGCAAGACCTTGCCTCAAAACAAAAACAAAACAATTTTGAGGTGGTCAGGAAGAGTCTCAGAAAAAAGTTAATATCATTTCATCAAAGAGTCAAGTAAAATAGGGCACGAACATTCATTTTAATCTAGCAGATGTTTCAGAATTTTTTTATAACTAAATCAAAATTCCACATTGGAGGTGGATTCATGCTAGACAGCTTTCAGAAAACAAAATCAACAAAAGCACCCTGGCAACTTGACATACTGGCACTGGCAGACTAACTCCACCCTTGATATATTTTCTTCACTCTGAAGGTTTTCCTTTTACAAATAAATTCATGTCCAGGGAGGGCCAAGGGTATTGACCAGCCTTCTGTAAGGCTTGGGTGGTTGGAAATGTCAGTGCTGGCAGGGTGGGCACGTTATTTTGTATGGCAGTCCTTGTTCATTCTGGTCTTTGACTTCTGAACACTGCTGCAGGTAGTAGAATTCAAGCTTTAGGCATCCTTTAAAAGAGGAAGCAAATGGCAGAAGTATGCTTATACAGCAAGGAGTAGAGAGCTTTTATTGGCTACAGCTTTCTGACAGGGTGATTAAAGACCCAGATTAAAATGGACATTATCATCATATTTAATCAGAACATCGTGGAGCAAGACGTGATTGCGGAAGTTAATACCACCCATTTTAAGGATGCAAGTGCAAACTCATTTAGAATGCTCCTCAAACCCCCTTTGTAAACTATTCCTTATAACCAGAAATGGTTTTCTTTGATCGGATTTCAATCCCTCAAAGCTGAAGCTAAATTGATTTACCCCATTAAGTAATACTGCATAATATTTTAATACATATGAAATCATTTTCTTTGCTCTACTAATTGCATTTTAAGCTTTAAAACATTTCCTAAGGCTTGAAAATGTCTGACTATTCCTTTTTTTTCCTTTTCTTTTTTTTTTTTTTGAGACAGAGTCTCACTCTGTCGCCAAGGCTGGAGTGCAGCGGCGGGATCTCCGCTCACTGCAAGCTCGCCCTCCTGGGTTCACGCCATTCTCCTGCCTCAGCCTCCCGAGTAGCTGGAACTACAGGCGCACGCCACCAAGCCCGGCTAATTTTTTTTGTATTTTTTAGCAGAGACGGGGTTTCACTGTGTTAGCCAGGACTATTCCTTTTATTTGGGGGTCACTATCAATGAAAAATGGGTTGCTTCCCTGTAGAGAAGACAAGCCCATCATTAATGTAAAAACCATTAATTAAATTAGGCTTTCAGTATCCCTTCTCTTAACCTTTCTTAATACTGTACATACATTTCACATTAGTTAATCATCTCTGGGTTTTTTTCATACTCCCTGAAATTCCTATAGGCAGCAGCAATCTGCTCACCCACCTTTCTGAAAAATCTGATCTTTGAGGAAAGGAATGCCTAACACAGCTTTAAAAGTAATTGACACTGTTTTCACATCAGTTATTGTATATAACGAGGCAATGTTTGCTTTAACATATAAACCTTTAGTGACTTTGGACAATATATCAGTCATTCCACAGGCACTTACTGAGCTTCCACAAGGGTCACATCACTATGCTAAATCCTCAGAACTAGAAGGATAAGTAAAACACTGTGTTTGCCTCAGGGGAGCTAACCAGAAAGTGTGGGAGGTGGGTGTGTAAAGGGACAACTGCAATACAATGAAAGTATAATAATAATAAATTAATTTAAAAAAAAAAAAAAAAGAAAGAAGTGGAATGATAGGGGCGTGACCAGAGTGACACAGAAGCATGTGCTGCCTGTGAGTCTTTACTTAGAGGCAGCAAAAAAATCAGGCTTAAGAGGATGTCAGTCTGGTTTCAAAACTATCACAACCTTTGTAACCGGGAGCACCTTATTTAATTCCTCTAAACCTCATCTGTGAAATGGGAATAAAGATAGCGCTTATATCTTAGGCTTATTGCAGAAATTAAATGACAGGGCATGAATTGAGCCTAGTATAGCCTGGCACATAGCAAGGGCAGAGGAAATACTAGCTCTTATTATTACTACCGAACATCTGTCCTCCTACAGAGTTTATTGTTGCATAAACTCTCTACAAAAACAATTTGCTTTTTTCACTTTCCACTCTGTCTGAAGTCTTCATCTGGGCAGTTTGATAGGTTTCCAGACAGAATTAAGAAAATATTTCAGCACAAACCTGAAGATATTTTAAGCACTGATTAAGGTTAATATTTTTTTCCAAGTTGAAAATGAAATTAGCTCTAGAAGAACAAAAAAATTTAAATACATACACACATACACAAACATTACACTGAATACCTTAATGGGAAAATAGACTGCTCTATTTCAATGCATTTACCATATAGGGCTTTCACTGTTTTCTATTCATTTTGGTAATAGTCATGTTATTTCCTTTTAATAATGTTTTTCAGGATTCATGTTGCAAATGAAATCTTCCAATATTTGCAATATTCTCTGTTTATTGGCATGTGAAAAGAGGATTTTATTACATTATGAGTATCTTTCCTTTTTTGTTTCACTTAACATATGACACTAATTGATTTATTATTTTGATTGATGGTATCTATTTATATCCAGATATCAAAAAGTGACAAGGTAAAACTAAATGCTAAAATAGATCAACCAAAGTCACACCCACTGGCAAGTGCCTTCCTTCCCCAACCTTAGATAGAGCATGTGTGTTACATGATGTTTTTGTCATCAAAATATAAGTATCTTGTTATTTACTCTGGAAATGAAATGTTAATAACTGTCTTAGCCAAGGCAAAACTCGGTTTTAAGCGATGGAGTAAAATTATCATTCAAGATGACTCTCACACCTGGCCCACTGGTCTCAGTTTCCATGTATTCTGCCTTGAATCCAATTTATTGTAGGTAGGTTTCCTAATGAGGATTTCATAGTTATAAACAATTAAAATTATATTTCAGAAGAAAATATTTAGGTTAAAAGTGACTTTTGTTTGTTATCAGAGTTGTTTCTCCCCTCTTTGCAACAAAATAATAATAAATTAAAGTAGACTCTTCATTAAGATGAGCAATAAATTTTCTTTGTAAGAGCTATGGTGTCAGAGGCATGTGAACCAGAACAACTCCATCATGAATAGGTGCTGGGTGAAATGAGGCTGAAAGCTACTGGGCTGCATTTCCAGACAGTTAAGTCATTCTAAGTCACAGGATGAGATAGGAAGTCGGCACAAGATACAGGTCATAAAGACCTTGCTGATAAAACAGGTTGCAGTAAAGAAGCGGTCTACCAAAATCAAAATGGCCACGGAATGACCTCTGATTGTCCTCACTGCTACACTCCCATCAGCGCCATGACAGTTTACGAATGCCATGGCAATGTCAGAAAGATACCCAATATGGTCTAAAAAGGGGAGGCATGAATAATCCACCTCTTGTTTAGCATATCGTCAAGAAATAACCATAAAAATAGGCAACCAGCAGCCCTCGGGTCTGCTCTATGGAATAGCCATTCTTTTATTCCTTTACTTTCTTAATAAACTTGCTTTCACTTTGTACTGTGGACTTGACCTGAATTCTCTCCTGTGTGAGATCCAAGAACCCTCTCTTGGGGTCTGGATCGGGACCTCTTTCCTGTAACCTATTTCTGGCAACCACAGAAGGGACTATATTGCAGAAACCCTGACCCAACCGCTATCTTTGGGTAAGTGTTGGGGTCCTGTAACATATTTCTGGTGAACTACAGAAGGGATGATACTGAAGAAACCACCATCCCCCAAAGGAAACAGACCGCAGCACTGATTGGATGACTTTGGGTAAGTGGTGGGGTACGCAGATAAAGAATGAGATTGGGTTGCAGGCTCAACTTAGGGGAGCTAGAGTCTCTCCTAAGACAGAGTGGGTTAGAGGCCCCTCTTAATAAAAGGCAAAGAGGCTTGACTGACCTTGGGTTAGAGGCCCAACTTAGGAGGGCTAGAGTCCCTTCTAAGATTTAGGGGGTTAGAGGCCCCTCTCGGTAAAGTCCCTCTCAGCTAAGAACCGGTTTGGCACTATGGGATGCTAACTGCTAGTCTCTTTGGATTAATCTGCCTCGCACTCTTTGCTGATGGCTGTGGGTGACAGGGTTAGGCATGTACAGGATTGTGGGTTATGGGGAGGTTTTTCCTGCCTGAAAGGGGCAACTTAAGAGTTGACAGGATTGCTGGAAAAGATCCCTTTGCTACCGAGAAGCAGCTGCCTGAACTTTTCAGTGTTGCTGCAATGGGCGGGCCTTTCTCTGACCTCCCTGAACATTTCGCCTTCTCCACCCTGCCACAGGCAATGTTTTTCTGTCTCTCCTTTCCCTTTCTTATCATTTCTATTACTCAGGGTGACCATCTTGCCCAGAGACCACATGTTGAACTCCAAGTTAGAGGTTGGATTAGACTCTGCCAAAAAAAAAAACCCATGAACCTAAACCCAGTAACCCAAGTAAGAGACTTAGAAACTGGCAAATGAAAAATCTTATAACTAC